CTTACACGAAATAGGGTGAATACATCTCATTACACTGATTTACTGGTAGTCTCGAAACCCTACTGACATTCGAATACAGTAAAAAGGAGTTTACTCACCCTATCGCATTAGGGATGATGAATAGGCGTCAAAACGAATTCCACTTAGCGTTTCCGGCCAAAATTAAGTTTATACCTGGCCCGAACTGACTTTATCAGCATAGCCTCGAAAATTAATTATCTTGAAAAAAGACTCTCTCTTCGGGGTACATGATATCTGCATGTAAAAGGGACCGAAGCGGACGATAGAGCATGAGGTAGGACATTCGGTGGGGATTTTCTGCCATGGCGGCGGTCGGCTGGCCTACTGACCCGTTGCCCTGCCAACAGACGGCCTAGTGCAGATGGCTCAGCCCATCGGAGTCATTCGGCCCGTACCACCGGCACCTTTGAACCGGCCGGCCTCGCTGCTGACCCAATACAGCCAACAAGGAGGCAAGCACATGAAGCCTTTGTGTGCATTTGGGTGTGCCTAATTTGCCGTTCAGGCAAGTGAACATACATGCTAATTGTACACCAGTTCGGACGGTTCGATCAGTTGAAACGGCCATGTTCACCTGTGGCCGGGCATGAACACGAGAAACAGGCCTACCGGTTGGTGGGAGTAGAACCAACTACTCGTCGACACAAAGTCAACTCATCTTCACGACCATACAGCTGGCCATGCGCGGTTGCCGATTGGTCTGTTGCCTCGGTTACTTTGTCGCCAAAACGCGGCGAGACAACGAGGAGACATTGTGCACATATCGAGGAGGATGTACAATCCCTACGTGTGTATGTATGTATGTATGTATGTATGTATGTATGTATGTATGTATGTATGTATGTATGTATGCAGTGTGTATATGTATGTATGTATGTATGTATGTATGTATGTATGTATGTATGTATGTATGTATGTATGTATGCGTGTGTGTGCGTGTGTGTGTGTGTGTGTGTGTGGCAGAGAGAAACGGTCAAGCCGTCGAACTGTATGCCTGATGCATAATGTATCGGGATTGCAGACGTATTGCCACCATCGAAAGCGTCATGTCAACATCATGTTTTGTGAGATGTGCCCAACTTGTGTCCCCCAGACCCGAGGAACGGGGCCACATCGCATCGCATCGCATCGCTCATCTCACCGCCTGCATGCCAGGCCCATTCTGGCCGGAGGTGGTTCACATTTTCGGACGGTCCGGTCGTCTACAGGCGACAGGAGATGGGCAATTGTCGACGGGCGACAGTTGACTGACGAGGTGGAGGAAGAGGAGGGCAAAGGCAGTGTTAATTAGCAGATCAATGCGGCAGAAGAGCCTGAGGGCAGCCGTCGGGACCACTGGTTGCATCTGCCGCCTGGCCAGCCGGGCAGACTACAGCACCAATCGGCGTACAGAGTCTGTCTGTACACAGCTCTCAAGCCTGCGTCGAAGTGGACGGCACTGCGTCGCCTGGTCGGACTGAAGGTTTCGAGGGCTGGGCTCGAGAAAGGTTGAGGTTGTCGGGGAGACGATACGGGACGGGACTCGAAGGTGAGTTTATGTTCTCTTCTTCTGTTGAGGAGCGCCTTCTCGTCATGACGATGCTACGTCCGGAAAGCTAAAAAAAATGCGTCTCCCAAAGGCACTGTTGTCGTCCGAACTTAAATGAAGACTCAGATGTTCCAGCAGCCTGCAACAACCAAAACTCGCTCACATTTCAAATGAAAGTGTGTGTGTTTGTGATGAAGAGACTCGAAAATTGATCCCACCCAAATACGATCACCAGCGGTTGGCTTTGCATGAACAATCTTTCTGACGCTCCGGTTTGTGATCTGATGGACAACATCAGATCTTACAACCATATTCCAATTAAAAAGTAGATAAAACACACCATCCTATCTACACATGTTATACATTTATACCCAAAATGTGTGCCCTTTGATAAGGTATAAAGTGATTTGGTTAGTTCAATTTATATGTCATTTTAAAACCATCTGATGTGTATGTTTGCGCAAAGACTTATAGGGAAGTGGGGAAACAATGCTTAAAGACATTTTGGGATTTTGTTCTAATGTGGTTATGTCTATGTGGAGAAAAGCTGCCGATTCGTCCAGAAAGGGGTATCTGAGGGGAAAACCACCGCTGAATGCTCATGAGTCCAACAATCTGAACTCGTTTAAAATACGAAAGGCGCAGAACACGCGATAGAATAACACGAAGAGTAAGTGGGTTTTGATGAATCTCCTGATATAACATTGTTCGGGAGACCTTCATTTAGTATGAAAGTGCCTGAAGAAGAGGTTGTTTGACCTTGTTTTCGCCTAGTCCAGAGTTCATTGTCTGCATGATCATTTCCAAAGTTGAACTGTGGACGTGGTACATTGCCAAACGTTTCGCCGTCATCGTCAGTTAGTATCGCCATTCTTAGCACCACACAACAACTCGTCAAAAAGACAAGTGAAGACGATCCTTTGACCAAACTTGTGCTATCTCCCCTTCTGCCCTGGGTTATTGGCGTTTCCGGTATCATCCTATCATGCCTTCACTATTACAATTTTACCGTGTTTAATTCGATATAGTGTGGTGTGCTTCTTTGAGCGACATGACACCTTCACACTCCAACTCTCTTTCATACCCCACCCTCCTTCATCTTTGTGCAGGGAATGTTGATCAGAGTCTGCTTTATTATTATGCAATCCTCCTTGCTAGTCTTATCCCAGTCTCCCTCTTGCTCCATAAAATCCGTCTGCTCCACCCCTTGTTCACCTATTTCACTCGACTCCTGACAAAACATCTGTCCTACTCGAGGCGTTATTCGCCCTCACCTGCGTCTGGGTGTCATGATCACCCTTTTTCTACATGAACCACGCCTCTGGTACAACCGATCTACTGTCAGCCAACTAGCTCCAGTACCCGCCGTCTCTATCCTCTTTCTATCCCTAATACCAAGTCTATGATTTGTTATGCCCTAGTCTCTTGTGTGTCCACCCGCAAATGTTGTGGTACAACTTGTTTTGATTTGTTTCAATATTGAACCACAACATTTGTGGGTTGGCACACAAGAGACTAGGACATATGAAATAATAGGCTTGGTATTATAGATTGAAAAAGGATAGAAACAGTGGAAGCTAGAACTGGTTGGCCAACAAAAGTCGTGATTCAAGGATCACGTTTATGATCAAACACGTCTATTGTTAGCCAAATAGCTAGGGTGATACCAGAAACGCGAATAACCCAGTACAGAAGGGGAGATACCACAATTGTTTAGCAACGTTTGGTCAAAGGATGGGCTTCCCTTGTCTCTCTGACGAGTTATTGTATGGTGTTAAGGATGGCGATACTCACTGACGATGCCGGTGAAACGTTTGGGAATGTACCACGTACTGAAAGATGCCTAATAAAAACACTCAACGTGAGATTCTTTTCTTCCAAAAGCTCCCGGCTCTAAATTGTTACTACTGGCAAGTAGTATCTTTCGCAACTGGCTATTTCAACCCAGCATTACTGCTACAAAAGTAGTATTGGTCTTCAGGGAAATAAGTAGATGTACTTTTAGAGGAGGTTTTAATGGTAATTGTATTTATTCTTTGTCCGGGGAACTGGACGAAAGAATGCCTTTGTAACAGACCCACTGACGATGCCGGCGAAACGTTTGAGAATGTACCACGTCTACGATTCAACTTCA